GGAGTCCCCCAGCATGCAATAAGTAACCGCCGACGGACAAGCCCAAAGCCTGCCGAAGGCAGGCTAGCGCCGCAGGCCAAGGGGGTACGCCAGGCGCGGATTGGAGGAACCCGGCCGCGAGACATCGCGAAGCCTGTTACGACAAGACGCGGTCTGGCATAAACCTACCTTGTTTTAATAAGAAAAGATTGAATTGAACAGACCATAGATAGACCTTTCCCCGAGAATTCAGAATGGCAAAATGTGATGTGGTCAAACAGCGTTAAATGGTTAAGTTAGTTAGTGTCCAGGTGCTGGTGGTTTTCCCGGGGCCTACACTGGAAGTGGAGACAAGAGGGCACAAGTCTTCATTTCTGAAACAAAGAAAAAAAACTGAAACAAAATCACGGTGCAAGATCAATGAGGGATTTATTGACTGGAGTGTGGAGATAGTGTGACATAATCGAAATGACTCTCTCGCAGTCAAAGGGCGTTGCCTAAGAGAGCGAGAGAGACAGGGCGACGGGTAGCCGGAGGCAGAGAGGAGTCGGAGGCAGAGCGACGAAGGAGGGGTGGTGGCGCGTGCAGGGGTGCATAGCCGCTGCGAGCAAGGCGTCTATGTCACAGCGGTGGCCGTGCGCGCGCCTGCGGGGCGGGCCGTCCCGCCATTCACGGGTGCGGGGGCCCTGTTGCCCGCGACACACGGCACCCTTTTCTGTAGTCTGTTCCGCCAGTTTTAAAGCCTGTTTCGGCAAATGGATTGAAGAAATGAGCAAAGCCACATGCTTAGTCATCTGCCTCATGATCTCCCCCTTTTCCCAAAAAAGTATGGGTTGATACATTTTGGACCTTTTTTTTGAGCCTGGGAAGGGGCCTTTTTTAAGGATTGGGGCCCGTTCGGCTGCGTTGCTCGGTGGGGCCCTTTTGGGTCGGGAAATTGCTTTGGCATTTGTTCGGCATTTGCTCGGGGACTTGCTCGGGACTTTGCTCGGGACGGTTGGACTTCTCGGATTTGTTCGGGTGTCCCTCGACATTGCTCAGATTTGCTCGATCCCCAAATGTGTCACGGGAGCGTCCGACCCAAAAAAACGGACGGAACGTGGAGTCAGAGTGACAAAGGCATCATTTTCGGCCGCCGCCGCACGTCAGCACTCCAGCCCTTCTCCAAAGTCCGCACCCGTCCGGGATCACCAAAAAATCGGTAGGGGGCGCTGCCCTGGCCATTTCCGCAGCTTAAGGCGGTTCCCCGGTGGCTTTCCGGCGAAAATTGAGTTCCCGGGAGTTCCCCGGGTTGGGGTTTTCCGGGATTCTCCTTTGGGGGAGGGGTTTTCCGGGAGTTCTCCGGTGTTTTTTTCCGGGATCTCCGGGGTTTTTCTCAGGGAGTTTCCTTTTCCGGGGGTTTTTTCCGGGGGGTTTCTTCCGGGGTGTTCTCCGGGTGTTCCCCCGGGGGTTCTCCGGGTGTTCTCCAGGTGTTTCCCCCGGGTGTTCTCCGGGGATTCCCCGGTAGTTCCCCGGTAGTTCCCCCGGGAGTTCCCTAGGTGTTCCCGGGGAGTACCCGGGTGGTCCCCGGCAATTCTCCGATGGGCGTTTCATCTCGGGATGCTCTTTTTTCCATTTAAGTTCTTAAGTTGACTTGATTCTTTTTACAATCAATACATAAAAATACAAGTTGAGTTATCTCCTATCAAAAAAAATTTAGACGGAGCCATGTTGACTTTGATTGAGTTTCTTTGAGACCCTATTTTCTTTGGAAATTGGAGGTAACTCAACTGAAGTCCACATAACTCCATTGCACGAAATGGCAAAAGGAGATAACTCAACTTGAGTCTTTATGAATGTATTCTGAAAAGAATCAACTCAACTTAACTCCCCATCACTTGTTGGAAAAAGGAGGTAACTCCAAAAATGATCCAGGAAGCGGAAGAAGGGAATAATTCGACTTATCTCCAAATTGAATTTTTATCTTATTATTGTTCCTCAGAATGGTTTGCATCATTACACTAAATTGTTTGAACCCATTCCCAATAATTTAGGAGAAAATCAACATGAAAAATGGATATACTGTAACTGAACTTGACCCCTTTTACGGTCTTAATATCATCAGAAAATGGAGGTAACTCAACCGAAGTCCACATGACTCCGTTGCATTAAATGGCAACAGGAGATAACTCAACTTGTGTCTTTATGAAACTAATGTGAAAAGAATTAACTCAAACTTAACTCCACATCACTAGTTGGAAAAAAGAGGCAACCCCAAAAATGTACCAGAAAAATACAGACTCTACGCAGACCACAGCTCCACTTGCATTGTCTCCTAATGTCACCTCGTTTGGGAGAACTAAGTAAACATGGTCCTGTAGTCCATTCCAACGTAGAGATTTATATCACAGAAAGCGACTACAGAGTAATGCTACACTTTTAAACATTTTCACAGTTATTTCTTAGGCTTTCTTGACGAAAATGCAATTGCATCATTCATCTGTTTGGATTAAGTTCACCCTGCAAACAGTTTTTTGTTTCTCCTGAAAAATAATGAAAATTGAGTTATACCCTTCTTCCGCTTCATGGATCAAATGTACCACAGAAATATGGACTCTACGCAGACCTCAGCTCCAGTTGAATTGTCTCCTAAATCCACCTCGTTTGGGAGAGCTAAGTGAGCATGGTTCCGTAGTCCATTCCAACGTAAAGATGTAAATCACAGAAACCGTCTACAAAGGGATGCTACACCTAAGAACATTTTCTCAGTTATTTCTTAGGCTTTTTTTGACAAAAGCCAATTGCATCATTTATCTGACTGGATTAAGTTTACCCTGCAAACACTTTTTTGTTTCTCCTGAAAAATGATGAAGATTTAGTTTTCCCCTTCTTCCGCTTCATGGATCAATTTACAACATCACTTTTAATTTTCTCAGTTATTTCTTAGGCTTTTTTTGCCAAAGCCAATTGCATCATTTATCTGACTAGATTAAGTTAACCCTGCAAACAGTTTTTTGTTTCTCCTGAAAAATGATGAAGATTGAGTTTTCCCCTTCTTCCGCTTCATGGATCAATTTACAACGTCACTTTTGAGAGTGCTTGCTTGCCCAAAGCTGTAGACTGATCGCCACTTTTCCTGTTATTTCATAACTATAATGCATTTATGATGTGATTTTCTTCGACAGACGTACTCTCCCAGCTGTCCCGGTGCGTAGAGCTTCGGAGCCTGCATTGCGGTATGGAGGGCGTGGCCTCGGCCAGGACGCTGACCAAGCTACGCAGCCTGACGCTGGTGATTCACTACAGCGATAAGGACCAGCAGCAAGTGTTGTCCGCCGCAGAGCGCGCCCTGCGCGCGTGCGGCGAGCTGCCGGCCCTGCAAGAGCTGCGTCGGGGATGGCGGTTTTGACAGCGTAGAAATAAGTGGAGCGCAGAGCACGGCCAGGCCCTGGCCACGCTCCTGGCCACCCTCGCCACCAAGGCCACCAACGTGAGGCACCTTTCCACCAGCGGCATGCTGAGCCGGCAGGTCTCCCCCGGGACTATGCTGGGCTTCTTCAAGGCCCTGTCCCGGCTGGAGACCTTGCACATCGGCCGTTTCCGGTTTGACTGCCTCCCTGGCTTGGCGGAGGTCGGCGGCGTGAAGAGGGTTTCGGGGCAAGTGACGTATCAGAAGGGCGAGGCGGACTTCTGCCGTGCCACCCTAGAGCAGTTCAAGCGCGCGCGGCCTGAGGTGGATTGCCAGCTCACCGATCACGAGTATTTCTATTGAGGTCAGGCATTGACTTTCTCAAGAAGATTGTCCTATTTTGCTACATTCTAATTTACGGCATAGTGCTGTTCTGGTTAGTTGAAGTGAGCCTTAAAAAATAAATGTGATTTAAATTGTCCTGAACGAGTTAATTTCTCCGAACCTTATATCCTCCACTCCCCCCCCACACACCCACACACACATTATTATTTGAGGCAAGGACTTCGTAGTTAGGGTATGTTATACCAAACTTATAAACTAGTTCCCGAAGCGTCCAAATGGCTGGCAATAAAAATGTGCGCGGGTGCTCTTTACACTCAGAAAAGCTTGCAAAGAAAAGTACTTTGCAGTGCAAAGTATTCTCCGGCATTGTATTACAAACTCCCTTGCGAACTTTTTTCTTCGCATTGCAAAGAAATAGTTCGTAAGTTACGAAGAAAAAAGTTTGCAACGTTGCGAAGCATTGGTTTGTAACGTTTCAAAGCATTTTCTTTGCAAGTTGCAAAGAAATACCTCGCAATGCAAAGAAAATAGTTTGTAAGAGAGTTTGCAACAATGCCGGAGAATACTTTGCAACGGTTTTTGAGTGTACCTAGTTTTCTTCCACCGTACCATGACGTTTAATGAAAACTCAAGCTTTTTCAGAAAAGTTAAGCCATTTTCACGTGGGTTTTAAGGTTGGTGCTGGAGGTTTTTATCCTGTGTGATATTCAAGGTAATATTCTTGTTTTTCGGTTAATTTTATCTAAGACTGTTAAAATGTAGCCCCTTGGAATTAAAACTGTATCTGCAAGTGCGAAATGCTTACGTTTAGCACTCCGCAAGTTGAAGTAAAATTCGTTACGTACACTGAGAAAAAGAGAGCCACTACCCTTGCCCTTTAGTGGTGACGTACTGCTCGTGTCGCCAACTCTGTGTTTGTTTCCCACCTGGCCTAATAGCAACCCGCTTCGCTCTTAAACGTAAGAGGTAAACAAAGATTTTAGCATGGTGAATGCGGCCGTCAAAATTTACATTGGTCAAGTTTTTAATCCTAAAATGTAGACCCGTAAGTTGCCGACCCTGTCAATCAAGCCTTCGCGCTTTTTCGTGAACTGCGTGCAAGCTGCCGTCCCGGGGCTGCGTCAGACAATTGGTTTCTCAGGTTTTTTTTTGGAGCGAGTTTAGGTGCAGTTGTCGGGGTGTCGAGTCCGACATTCTTCACAAGGGTTAAAAAGGTTAAAAAATAAGAAAAAAACGAATTCATGCATTTTATTCATGCGTGATCTTATTTATTTAGAAAAAAGCGCGTTTCCAATGGGAGAGGGTAAAGCTGGCAAAAAGCATATCGGTCTTTGTTCAACGGATGCAAAGCATGACGGTTTTTGCTCATAGGACCCATAGAATTAAGTGGGTACACCGCGCAGCCCGTGGCAAGTTTGCTTACCACAAAATTGGCACCCCGTTTTCAATGCCGAAAACTGGCAAGCTTTGACCCGGAAACCTCATTACCCTGCCAATAATTGGCAGGCTGGAGAGTAAACGAGGGACAGGCTTGCCAAACCGGCTTGCCAATTTCGTCGCAAGTTAACTTGCCATCGGCTTTGCAGTGTACCAGGGTATCGTCCATGGAGCCGGCAGGGTCAGTAACCGAGCATGAAAGACTCTTCGCAGCCCCAGTCCTCCCCCACGTCCAACACGGGGTCGTCGTCCTCCTCCTCGCAGTCCGAGGCGGCTCGGCACATGGAGCGGCTGCAGCGGCTGATGTCGTACCTCCACGAGAGCGGCGGCGTGGGCTCGCGGAACGCTGAGCTCAGGTGGTTCACCACCATCTTGAGGTCCGGGCGGGCCGACTGCAGCCGCGTCCTGGCGCTGCGGCCCTTCTTCGTCACCTGGGGCACACAAACAAGGACGTCAACCACGTCTGCACTGTAGAAAAAATCCGCGGGAAAAGGTGCGTACAGGCACAGTCTGGTAGACAATTTGCCTTGTACCACCGTACCTCAGCCAGTACGGCTTTTGGGGTACGGAGTACGGTTTTTCATAACATGGGCTCTTATGGGAAGCACGTTTTTTTGGTACGATTGTTCTGTACACTGTGAGGTACGGTCTAGCCGTACCTTTTTTCTTGAAATGTACGGCTTTTTTAACAGTGTGCATGGATCTTCAAAGAACGTGACCTCACACACTCTCAGACTGTTATTGACTTTTTGTCCTTTGTTGAAGAGTATTTTGCACAGCAATGAAAAGTGCTATTTCCTCAATATCTGTGGGAGATTTCATTCGTTATACTTAGTTAAAGTCAATGTGCTGTTGACGCAATTGACTTCAAAACTAGTCAATAATTGATGACAATTTAGTCTTTATAGTGAACAATATTGTACATGGTTACGAAGGAAATACTACATATTATTGCTGCTTAAAAAACTATGTAAGCAAAGGACAAAAGGTCAATAATGGTGAGAAAAAAGTCAATACGAGTCTGAGAGTGCACAGTGAAATACGAGGAAATTAAAGGCACTGTAAATTCTACGAAACGTTTCTTATTATGAAGCCAAATCCTCCGTAATACGAAGCATTTCTTCGTTAGGCGCAAAGCAATTGATCCAGGAAGTGGAAGAAGCACTCTCAGCACGTTACTGACTCTTTCCTCATTAATTATGTACTCGTATAAGCAACAATAATACTTAGTATTTTTTAAGTTATTATGACTAATTTCCTATGTAAAATTATGTACAAAACCAAATTGTCAGTACATAATTTAATATTTCTTGAGTAGTTCTTTACAAAAGGAAAAGTACGTATGATAGTTACACAAATTACTGAGGTACTGACAAAATAAGCAAAATGTCAGTAACGTGCTTTGAGTGAGGGGATAACTAATTTGGCCATTTTTCTGGAAAAACAAAAAACCGTTAGCAGGGATAAAACCAAACTAATGGATATTATCCACACATTCAATAAGCATATGCTAAATTGTAAGATGAACAACAGAAGTGTTGAGTCACTCCATAGATGAGTCCTGTGACTTATCACTTTCCGTTAGAACAGAAAACAGAGTCATCCCAACGTTTACTTCCTAATCGAAGTGGATATGGGCAATCTTGGTGGATGAGCCTGTAGCGCTTGATTTCACTGAGAAAATTTGAGTCACTTGATGAAAATTTCAAGGCTAATTTTCTTTACAACAATGTCATCAAAACAATTGATGACATTGTTGTCACGCCCATGCAATAAGTATAGGAGCTTTGATGAGAAGGTCATCAACTTGTGATGAGATTGTCATAATTTGAAAGTGATGAAGACATCATCCACGTTTCTGTCATAAAGTGACAACAAATTTTCAGTGTTCAATCGTAAGCAGATTACGCTTGAAAACAGAGGGTAATACTATGCTTTAATATTACCGGTGTTGCTAATCACTGAAAAAACCTTACAAACTATTTTGGGCCTTACAAAGAAAAGTGGTTTGTATAACAAAGTATTTTGAGCATACGTAAGCTTTCAAAGAAAATACTTTGTAATTTACGAACTAATTCTTCGTATGACAAAGTATTTTAGTTTGTTATACGTATGCTCAAAATACTTCGTAAATTTTTAAGAGTGATTAATTTGCACTGAAAACCTACCGAGCAAAGCTTCAGATGCAGCAGAGTGAGGTTGGGCAGCGCGCCGTCGGCCAGTGCGTTCAACACGCTGCCCGGCACCCTGGCCCTCACGAGCACCACGCTCTCCAGGTCGCCCATGGCGCCCAGGATGGCGTGCAGGTCGCGCGGGACGTCCGTCCTGATGCAGGTCATGCTGCCCAAGCCTCTGTACACGAGCGTCAGGTGGCGCACGTTCGGGCAGCCGGCCGCCACGGCCCGCGTGAGGCCGCGGCACGCGAACAGGTTGAAGTGGACCGTGAGGCGCTCGAGCTGGCGCGTGGCGGTGGACGTCTTGAAGAAGCGCTTCACCGCGACGTGCTGCTTGGTGGGCCCCAAGTGCAGCAGGGTGAGCGAGCGCAGGCAGGGGAAGCCGTCGAGCAAGGCGACGCTGCGTCCCCAGGGCACGCGCAGCTCCTCCAGCTTCTTGCACTTTCGCAGTGCGCGCTCCACGGGTCGCGACCGCACCGCCCAGTTGTTCCAGTCCAGGTTCGGGTCCACCCTGAAGGCGGTGAGGGTGCGGCGGGCGCCGGCCAGGGCGTCCGCCAGCACGTGCTGGCCCACCTCCGCCCCGGCCGCCAGCTCGGTGACGGCCCTGCCGCCGTACGCCTTGAGCAGGCGCCCGGCCACGTACAGCTCCTGCACGCCCAGCCTGTCGATGACTCGCAGCAGCCGCATTTCGGCCTGGGCGGCGCCTCGCGACTGCATGCAGCCCAGCTTCACCACCTGTCAACAACGGCACGATTCAGCTGCAATGATGCGCTCTAAATTCGTACGAAGCATTCGCTTCGTAACTACTGACTCTACAAATCGAAAAGCGTACATTGTACGCTCTACCTCACTGTGGCAAAAAGGTACGGAAAATTCTGTTAATTTTTTTGCCAGGATTCTCCGTAGCCCTCTTATCAATATTCTCCGTAGGCTTTTACAGTATTCTCCGTAGGGGCGTACAGTATTCTCCGTAGGACCGCACAGTCTTCTCCGAAGGACCTGGAGGACTGTAAAGTCCTACGGAGATCACTGTAAGGAGAATACTGTACGGTCCTACGGAAAATACTGTAACAGCCTACGGAGAATATTGACAAGGGGGCTACGGAGAATTACCATGAGCTGTTTACAGAATTTTCCGTAGCTTTTTGCCACAGTGCTGGAGCATGCCTGCCAAGCATGGACTCATTAGTGCATACTTGCCAAGTAACGCTTCCTGATGCAGACAACTCCCTATCTCTTATGCACTAGCATATATGCTGTATGTATGCACTAAAAAGTGCATGCCTGGCAGGCATGCGCTAGCTAGAGCGTGCTTGTATGTAGGCATTCTCCAGGTAGATCACACTATGTGCGCTTTCCGATTGGTATAGCAACTACTACTACGAAGAAAATGAAGGCATTGTATACGCTTAAAACCTTACGAAGTACTTTGAGCATACTTAATACAAACTACTTTACTTTATTATACGTGATTCGTACCACGCTCAGTGAAAACTGTACGAAGCAGCGCTTACCTGGAGATGTCCGCGGTAGAGGCGGAGCAGTCTGCCGATCTTGTCCACGTCGTAGGACTGCTCCCAGTTCATCCCCCACACCAGCTCAAACTCCCGGACGCGGCGCGTGCACTGCGCCAGGTTGAAAGGCGGCCAGGTGTAGTAGGACAGCGTCAGGGAGCGCAGCGCCGGGGCGATACGCAGCTCGCCACTCTGCCGCCAGCCGTCCCGCGGGTACTCCGTGTTCGGGTACTCCACGTGCTCCCAGGCCGCTTCCGAGCGGCTCACGTCGCGCAGGCGGCTGCAGACCCAGCCCAGCCGCACCAGGTCCGGCGACTCGAGGTAGCTGCACACCACCAGCAGCGCCTCCCTGGGCAGCAGGGCCAGCGGGGCGTCCTGCGAAGCGTCCAGGCGCACACTAAATTCTAGGCAAACTCCATACATCTGCATGAACAACGTTGCTCTGCTTTCCACATGCAAGCGGTTACAGAACTTTAACAACAGTGTATGTGCAGGTGTGGGGAGTTGCGAAAATTGTGGGCCTTTCCTGCCCTTCAAAGTGAAAACATTTCAGCATACACTCCGCAAACTGAAGTGTGTACAAAGTACACTCTTGTTAAAGCATGCTTCCAAGTACACTCTTATTTACAGCATACTTGCTACGCACACGCTAAACTAGAGTATGTACACGGTAAATAAGAGTGTACCTGGCAAGTACACTTAAACTGGCCCATGCGTTTAGATAGGACTAATCGAGTATTTTAGTGTGTACTTGCAAGGTACACACTTATTTAGCGTGTACTTGCCAGGCACACTCTATTTGAGCGTGTGCCTAGCAAGTATGCTGTAAATAAGAGTGTACTTGGAAGCATGCTCTAACAAGAGTGTACTATGTACACACTTCAGTTTGCAGAGCAGGATGGACTGTCAAAAGTCCTGAATTCCCCTCCACTGCAGTGAAGGATGGAGTGTAAAACCTTACGGATGTCACTGTAGGATTTATTGTTGTTGTTTTTATGTCGCTGCAGACGTGATGATCAATCAAACACATCAGCAGGGTTACTGCGGCTGAAGCTCACCTGCACAACCTGCTGCCGCCTGCCCTCAGTGGGGGCGGCGCCTTCCTCGGAGGCAGCGTCTTCCTCGGAGGCAGCGTCTTCCTCGGAGGCAGCGTCTTCCTCGGGGGCAGCTTCTTCCTCGGAGGCAGCGTCTTCCCCGGCGAAGCACACTTTTTCGTGGCCCCGTCACGATTCAAGTGGTCCACGCTACAGTAGAATTCGTCATTGCACTCCCCACAGGTCCACATCGCCTCTTTGTAGCACACGGCACAGCGGTCGCATTCCCGCCGAACACCGACAAAAGTGAGTGGTCATCTGACATAACAACGTATGTTCATAGGGAATCCCACAGTAGATACGTTTTAAGTCCGATAGCTACAAGATTAATCCATGAAAACTCGTGTAAATCTTGTCAGAATGTCAGAAACCTGTCTGAAAACCCGATCAAAATTCGCGCACCTCTGAAAGCTGAAAACATCTCCTCACATTCTGTAAACTCAAACCATCAATATCAGAGTAAGTTTTTAGAATTTCAGCTTTCAGAGGTGCGCGAATTTTGATCAGGATTACAGACATGTTTCTGACATTCTGACTAAATTTCACGATGAAGCGAAAAAAGGGGGTAAATCCATAGGGCCATTTTGCAGATGGAATGTTAAACTGTTGCAGGAGGCGAATATGGGAATAACTTGGGTTGTCTCTAAACTGAGTTTTTTAAAAATATTGTGCGTTAGATTGGTTTTTGCATCATGCCACTAAATTTTTCGACTCAATTTCGACCAGCTGTGGAGAAAGTCCACTTGGAAAAGGATACTCAACTTGACACCTTTTTTTCTCTTAATAACGAGAAATGAGAACAACTCAATCAAAGCCCAAAATGAAGGTAATATTTTCAAAAGGAGATAAGTCAACTCGTGCTTATGCAACAACTGTGACAAAAATCATGTCAACTTAAGCCCCTGAAATCCAAAAAGTACACAAGAGCAAACACTTAATGCTGACTGTAGTTCCACTTTACTTGTCTCCAAATTCCACTCCGTTTGGCTCTGTTTTCCATTTCAACGGTAAGTTATAAGTTACAGAAACCCTCTACGGAGTGCCTGAAACATTTGATGTTTATCTCAAAATCTTACTTATGATATTTGAAAGAGTTATCATGACAATATTCATTTGTTCTGTTTTAGTACTACCCGCTCGCAGTTTTTTGTTTCTCCAGAAAATTATCCAAAATGGAATTATCCCCTTCTTCCGCTTCCTAAAACAAATGTTGGCAAGGCAAACTAAAACCTAACAAAGAAATATTGTAGATACCCAAAAAATTCAAAAACCATAGATCATGTTAAAAAATATATACAAGGTGTAAGAGTACTCCATACACGGTTTCTGCGACTTGTAACTTTTGTTGAAATGAAAAAAAAGAATCATTTTAATTTATAGTTTCCCACACAAAGTAGAATTTGATGACAAGTCAATGGAACTGAAGTCAGCGTAAAATGATAGTTGCCTTCTGAGGTGTTTTATCTCGACTTATCTCTTTTTTCAACTAGTAAAATTGAGAGCGGGTTAAGTTGAGTTGCTTCTTTTTACATTTGATTCATTAAAATACAAGTTCAGTTATCTCCTACTGACAACTTTTTCCCAAATTTAGTAAGGGAATTTTGGTTAAGTTGTTTCCATTTTCTGCAAAATTGAGAGCGTAAAAGGGGTCGAGTTGAGTTATGCCCTTTTCCTAACTGTATTTTCTCCTAATTTTCGAGGAATTGGGTCAAATAATTTGATGTACCATTCTGAGGTAAAATAATAAAAAAAATACTCAATTTGGAGATAGTTACAGTTTTTTCGCTACTTCACCCGACTTCACCTTTACCTAAAAGGACTTCATTCATTTAACGAATTTTTATATTCAAACCCATCTGAAAGACAATAAGATTTTCACCAAAACCTCCCCTTAAACCTCTTTAAATGTCAGTCCACGCCAAACCGTCGAGACTCTTGTCAACAGTGACACGTTGAGACGGGAGGGTCTCTAGTTGACACTTTGAAAGCCGTTGCTTTCCTCCTAGGCACTCATACCTCATCGAACGAATCCTCGAAGTCTTCTCCTTGAGATTGCTCCGTTTCGGATGAGATGTCCGACTCGCTCGAAGAGGAAATCTGATCCGGTGAGTCTTCCTCATCCATGGACTCGTCACTAGAGTATTCTTCGACGAGTCGTAACTCTCATTATCATCATCGTTTCCATCTTCCTCTTCAGCAACCGGCAAGACGTGATTCTCGGGGGGTGCCATTTTGTGAGGTTTAAACCCGAGGAAAACAAAAACTGCAATGAGTGGAAAGGAACCGACAGCATCTCAAAAATTTCAGTGAAGATAAGTGATAAAGATCGAAGCTAACTTGGACCCAGCATGGGGGCGATTTGAACGATGAGAAAATTGTGGAAAGATACTTTTCGCATGCATTGGAAAGTAACTTTTCAATGTGTCAACTAGCTTTCTGTCTTTTCTCCATATTTCTCTTCAAGACTTGAAATAACGTACCGATCTGAAAACTAAATTTGTCTTGACATCGTAGAAAGGTCTTGACATCTCCTTCAATATGTTAGTTTTCTTTTTTAAAAAGTATTTGAACATTCCGAAATGGGGCAAAATCTCCTTTGGAGCACTGCCCGGCTTCGCAGGCTAAACGAAGTATATTCAGCATACGAAGGAAACTAGTTTACGAAGGAATAATTCGAAAATTACGAACTATTCTCTTTGAAAGCTCACGAACGTATGCTCAAAATACTTTGCTTCGTACGGCTTAGAGAGTTTGTAAGGTTTACAGGGTGCGATAGAGAGAGGGGAAGAGAATAGGATGCCCGCAAACTTACTTGACAAAGGGCCTGGTCCGATCAGTGAGAACAAGGTGAATGCTCGCAAGACCGGAGTCCTCGCAAGGGCATCCTTGGCTGGTTGGTTAGCAGCTACGCAGACCTCGCGAACAAGCTGAAGCTGGGCGTGATGGGCAAGACAGGCACGGAGCGCGAGCGCCTGCCTGACGTCGTGGACTGGCCTGACCTGACGCCGACGCCTGACTGACTGACCGACTCACAGAGCAGCAGGGGTATGACAGAGGATAGGCTCCCCTCCACCCTTATTTGTCCGAGTTGGAGTCCAGTCGCAGTCAAGCCCTACCAACCTGAAGCAAAAAAACGCTAGATTTTAAACGAGAGATATTACCCTCGGTACATCGTCTTTGGAATAAAAAATTGTTTGAGGCTCGTCGCCTGTATTTTTTTGTTGTGTTGTGCCTATAGAAGGCATGGAAAATTCGTTTCGAGTTTTGAAGTGAGTGGTACGCACTGCTTGCGCCGTGCGCGGGGCAACCCTGCTTTCTCTTTGGCGTCGGCGTCGCTTGGCGGCGGACGTGTTGGCGGACTCCCGTTGTTTTATGTTTTCGTGCATATTTATTTGAAAATCATGTCGCCGAGGAGGAAAGGAAAGCAGGGGCGAAGATGTAGAGTCGTCGGTTGTGTCAACCAGAAAAATAATCCAGGGCCTGGGACGCACTTGTTTCGTGTTCCCAACAAAAATGTGCCTGTGTAAGTTAACCTAACAAACCTTGATACTTTGACTTAAGAATTATTCTGACCTGCTTAAGTGGTGCCTTTACTCCGTTCAGGTTGGAAGCATGGGTACAACTGTGTGGAAATCCTGAACTCCTTGATGTGCCCATAAGTTTTTTGAAGACGAACCTTCACATTTGTGGCGCACACTTCCTTCCTGAAGAAGTGAATGTTGGACAGAAATTAACGAAGCTCCATAAACCATGTGTACCCACTCTGTTTGCTGAGAATCATAAGCCTCTCTCTGACGAGGAAATGCAGAAGTGGAGACATGCAAAGCACTATGGAGTCCTCAAGGAGGCTAACTCGCCCAAGAAGGAAGCCTTTATCGACAGTTCTGCCAAGCGTATTGTCCAAGATGGTTGCAATGCTGGTGGGATTGGAAACGACGTCTGTCCTCCAGACTCTGCTTCAATTGAAGTTCTTCCGATTGAACAAGGTTTGTCGGCCATTTTTTTTAGCACTCGTACATCCTTATTATCGGTAACCAAGACTATCCAGTCTGTGTACCGTCTTCTTTTTAATTTTTGTTTTTTAGTTACACTTGTGAAATAGTCTTTGCACCTTAGATGCAACTCATTGTTGTGGTGATAGTGTGTGCTAATTTATATTGTGTTGTACTGCAGTAAAAGTTGGTGTTAATGAGAGTGGGACCGAACACCATCAGGTCCCTGATCTGCCAGAGAATCGAAAACTTGTTTTCTTGCCCAGTACAGTGGGGGGTAGGCCTTGTGTTTTTGTGTGCTTTTCACTTGCTTGCTGTGTTTAATAACGCTTCATTTCTCACATCACTGCTCCTCTCTACTATTTTGCTGTAGGTGTGACAACATACGAACCCTGCTTCTGCACACCTGCTGAAATTGTCACTTCACAGAGTGGCGGAGGTGGAGACAATTTGAATGCGAAGCCCGTTCTAACTGTGCCTGAGCCTCCCTCAACTCATGCTGCCAACCCCACACCCAGGCCCGCGAGCCCCAGCCCTGATGAGTCTGAAGGTGAGCAAGCCAACCAATCAATAAATACTTATTTTTGTTGCAACATATCTCTCAGTACTGTAGGCTGACAATTTTTTATTATGTTCCAGTACTGGCCCAGCCTCTTCCAGACACAACACCTACAAAGGAAGAGCCCTCTTCCAACTTTGAAATTGTGAAGAACAAGCGGAGGAGGAGTGCCAATGGGACTGGGCCCTTCAGAAGGCGCATCCGCCCCTCAGGTATTTTTTTTCCTTAACTTGCTTCGATGGCTTCAAGTAGCTTTTACATCTGTATTCTTGAACCTTTTGTTTCTATTTATTCTTTTCCAGTTGCCAAGAAACGGAGGTCAAGGCGGCACATGCTGGAGGCCATGGGTGCTGGTGATGCTATCATGACTCCTGTGAAGAAAGAGCTGCTTGGGGTTCTGAT